GGTGGGCTCGGGTCACCTGCCGCAGGCGCTGCAACAGGGCGCATCTTCCGCGGCCCGCTGCGCTCCCGGCCGTGTGTGGAGCGCGCACATGAGCGCCCAGCACGGCGCTGGTGCGGCGGGGGATGCGGAGCCGGGCAGGAAGGGTGCGATTGTCCAGCCTCCTGTAAACCACTGCTCTCCTGAGGTCCCGGTCAGGCAGTTCAAATGCAGTTTTGGCTGGACCTCACAATGGTTTTCAAGTTTCTGCATAGGAATCCAGGTTATTTTTTGTTGATTTTTTTTTTTTTTCCTAAAAATTCAACTTCCTAGTAAATCAGCATTTTATTTAAGATTTTTTATTTTATGTGTATAGAGGGAACGAGGTGAATCGAGTTTAGCTTGCCGCAAATAAAGCACTTTGTTGTTTGGTTTTTTTTTAGTATCTGCAAGAGGCTGTCACCTGCATCATTTGTATTTTATGTATGTTTTTAGAAGCTGATTTTGGCTGAGGGCACTGATAAAGAGTACTGAAAGTTGGGAGTTGTAAATACAGGTTACTCGTATAATGTTTTCCTTTATATACGCACACACCATGTGTATTTTATACTCATCCCAATAAAAACACACTGATCTAGCTTGCATATTACGTCATATTACAGTTAGATTGTGTGGTTTGAATGGATGTCACTAGAAAATAAAGAGAATCTAAATACAATTTTACCTTCAGATTTTTTTATTGTATGGCATACTGAAATTGCATTTATTGTTTGGATGATGGTTGTTTTGTTTTCATTTATTTAAACAGTACATAATAGTTCATTCTCCTTAATCCACACTTGCTATCTTTTGTTTTGGTGTTCTTTGCAACGTGACCTAGAGAAAGAATATGAATTGCAGAATTTTCTGTCTTTTTGAATCATAAAATCTTCACACCCTCCTAATATATTATGGTATTTAGTGATGGTCTTTTCATGTTTCCTTCTCTTTGCATGAACCTGCTATTTGGAAATGAGCCTCGGAGAGCATGTTTACATTGCATTCAGATTAGGTATCATGTCCAAGTTGAAGACAAAATGGCTACTAAGTAAAACCTCTGCTTTTATTGGGGGTTTTCTTTTTAAGGAAAAAGAATAGATATGTTAGCTTCTGAAATGAAAACTGCTTGTTTGATTCAGGTGATATTGGTGAATAGCCCAAGCCCATGTTTGGTACAAAGGAATGAAGCGTTTTGCCCGGGGTGAGTGGCTCGCCTGGTGCCAAGTGCCTGTGACCAGCAGAGGTTTTGCCAGCACCTTGCAGCCCTGTATCCTGGTGCTTTCATAGGCGTTCCTCACCTTCACAGAGTGTTCCTCCTGGCTACCTGCTTCCTGCATCGGGCTTCAACTTCCCTGCTGCTCTCAGGCAGCATCCTGCAACCCTGCAGGTTGTGCTGTTGAAATGCAGTATTTGAAGATAAAATTATTTTTTTATAAGAAAACGTTTTCTTTCCGTATCTTCAAATCTTACATTTCTCTATTGTGACTAAGCAGTCTTCATTTGAGGTTGGAGTTTAATGTTAATTTGCATCTTCCCGGAGATGCGGTGGTTGTTTTGGCGTGGCAAGGATGAGGAGCACTGTTGGGGTTGTTGTGCGCGCTGCGCCCCAATAAACAGTGGAAGGTCTCCTTCTGTACTGGCTGTCTGGGGTTTGCTCTCTTCAGTGGGTGCTGGTGATGGATAAATGGGCAGGAGAGGTTGTGGAAGGCCAGTTGTGAAGATGGCAGTGCTCTGCTGTTAGCAGAACGAGTTGTAATGTGCAGAGCAGAGCTTCTTCCTCTTTTCTTCTTCCCTCCTCTTCCTCTCCTCTTCCCCTGCTGTGCCAGTTGCATGTGCTGGCAGGTTGGTGCATTCAGTTCCCCCTTTGCTTCAGCACATCCATGTCACTACTCTTCTCTGTTGTTTTCCCCCTACCTCCTTTTTTCCTACATGTGTTTGTGCATAGTGGATGGAGGCTTTTAGTTGGTTGTGTTTGTTACAAGTTTTGTTTGGTTGGTTTTTTAAAAGGTTTCAGTCTTCAGATTGTATTGTCAATGAAAATAGTGGTATAGCAAAATATAGCAGCTATGTAAATGCTGGACTTGAGGATCACAAACAAGTCTGTGCTTGTCCCTCCACTTTACAGACAAATATAAATATAGAGAGTGATGCAGGCCACGAGTGGGACAATGAGCTATTCATTATCTCAGCTCGTGCTTATTTTATTCTGTTCATTAAATTAAAATGTAGTTTGACAAAACCATATTAAGTAATTGTGTAAATGTGGAGTCTCTTATATTGAAACAATAGTTTAAGCCCTGCTGATTACATTTGCAGGCATGGTCAGTATAGGTACTGAAGACTTAAAATTATGCTTTTTAGGTGTTGTGTTTGGTTTTGGGTTGGTTTTTTTGGGGTGTTTTTTGGCATATAAGGCGACCATTAGTTTGAGCCGAGGAGGGGGAAGATAAGAGTGACTTAGCTGTGCTTAAAAGCAAATCAGGAAGTATTTATTTGCATTACAACATCACATACAGGTATTTAACTGCTATTTGGTTACAGTAATTGAAGCTCATCACTGTCTATCTGTATTTGTGTCCTGCCTGCCCCTCTTGAGCACATGCAGCAAAGTGGTGTCTGGTTTTGTTTCGTGCTGTGTGTGTGAGTTGCTGAGGCGGTTGGATGTGTTCTTACGGTGTGGGTGAAGCGGGCAGAAATAATACTGGATGTCTTTTCCCATTGACGGATTAGAAGTCTAGACAGAGAGAACACGTCTTTGGGAGCCCAGCCTGGCTGATTAGTGTCGGCATGGGCGGGTTTGTAAATTGCCCTGGTCTTTGCTGGACACTGGGCCTTAATCTGCCTGTTTTTATTTCTCTTTAGATTCGTTAAAGCTTTCATATTTATTAATAGCTTTTTGTCCAGACGTTGGAGCCCGAGGCGGGAAAACCTCCCTAGTCAGCTGTCTGAGCATATAGAGTAATGGGGTTTCACTTATTTCTTCGGGTGAGGGTACTGTATTACCCAATGTGTGTTGTTTGTATATGATGTTTTTGTACCCAAACATATGGTGGTGAAGACGGAGTCTACTCAGTATCACATTGACTTGCCAAGGAATATCTTACAGCTGAAGACAGCCAGCAAAGTATGGATGTAAAAACAGCGTGGCACAAGGATTGAGATGCGGAGATGGCCAAGGGAGGATGGTGTCAGCTGAGGGTCTGTCATCGCTGGCATAAAAGGAAAAGACCAACAGTTTTAGGCAATTTAATCCCTCCGCTGACTGTATTAATCCGAAATCCAGTAGCTGTGAACATTGAAGGAACGGACAGGTTTGTTTTCTTGTTCACTGTTGCGAATAACTGCTGATGGTTCTGCAATGAGCACTTGTTTACCATTGTAAATAGTAATCTGGTGCTTGCATCTTGGCATAGGCTTGCCCTAGCTTCTTTCACCTTGCCTGCATCTCAGCTCTTTTTGTCGTAAAGACAAAGCACTGCATTTGCAGCCATTTCAGCTGGATGTGGGTGTGGGTTTCAGACCCATCATTTTTGTCCTCAAATCGCTCTTCTAGCCAGAAGTTCTATTGGAAAACCACATGAGCTGGTCTGGGCAGTGCCGAAATTATGTGTCCTAATGCCCGGTTTGTCTCATGTTGAAGGAGGAGTAGGATGTGAATTGTGCCCTTGTTACTTTTGGGCTATTGGTGTTGTGCTAGAAAACCAGATTAGCTGATTGTAACACAAGTGTGTTCTAATCTTTGGAAGGCTCCATTCGTTTTTATGACTTAAAACATTCCTGCTGCCTCCTACAGTTGCATCCATCAGTCCTCATTAGGCATTGTCAGCAAGCATGGATCGTCACTTAGCTGTTGGCAGAGCAAATGTTCTGCAACTTGGGAAATGCCATTGAGGTTTTTCATAATAGAAATTGCTACTTATTTGTATAGTTAGGTCAGCAGAAAAAATGATTGACAGTCTTGATATTTTTAATAAAATGCCTGGCAATGAAGAGGGATGCTTGAGGGGTATGTGTTTCAGGCTTTTAGCAAATGCAGATGGATATACCTTTCTGGTAGCTTTCTTCTGCAGTTGAAATTTCTGCATGTATTTTTTTAAAACAAGTATTTCTTGAGTCAGGTTGGATTAACATGTAAGCCAATCCATCTGCATTTTCTCTATTTCTCATAGCTCGGGAGAGGGAGGTGGGAAACAAGAGAAAGAACCCCTAACATAACCCTCAGTATTTTGGTAAGTAGCCTGTCAAAATTGAGAGAACTCAAAATTTCCTCTGATTACAGAGTACTTGTGGTTATTCTGTACCCCAGCCCAAAATGCAGCGGATGTCATTCCCTCCTTCATCCTGGTTAATTCATTGTTGGAGGTGGGAAACACAGGTTATAAGTCTTCAATTACAGATGACTGATTTCTGTGAGGAAAATCAAATAACTATCATTGACAGGTGTACAGCCTGCACTCATTTCACTTAATCTATGCAGCATCAGAAGTGTGTTTACCTCTTTTGAAAAAGTACCTTGAGCCACTCAGCTGAGAGATGGTGTGTAAAACTGCAAAGATTTCTTATCACCAAGTCAGTTTTCCCTAGCTTCTTGGTTCTTCTGTTTCCAGGTGATGGTAAGGTTTGCCTGTCCTGATTGTGTTTCCTGATATGGTGTATAAGCAGTCAAATACATAGAAAAAAATTGAATAAAAAAAATTTAGAGTAGTTCATGGTGTTTTCAGGGAAGGTCACCCCTCCTTGGGCAAAGCATTTAGCAGCTTGTCATTCTCCTTCACACTCTGCTTCCCCAAATGGACAGGAACAGAAAGTGGAATTTGCTTCATTTCACTCCACCTGGTTTTGTACAAGTTCCCATGCAGTTATTGTGGAGGAAAAAAAATGCATTTCTGAGGTGAGGGCCAGCTCCTAGGAAAGACATTTCCATGAAACAATCCATCTGATCACTTCATGTGCCTAATTCTCTGACTGCAAACAAATTTTAAAGCAGGGTGTAACCATCTGTGGTGCAGAACTCCTGAACTGGGCAAAATAAATCCTACACCGTTTGTCCCTTTCTCAACTTCTCCTGGAGATGGCCTCTGTGGGTTGTTCGGAGACCTTCCACTCCTCTGAACAAGGGCCAGGTACACCCTTTATCTGTTACTACACATTCCTGTACACAGAAACTCCTTCTGGGGAAGGCCCCCAGAAGAATTCCTTCTCACCAAAGCAAGGTTCAAAAGCTTTTGCTATTCTCTGCTGCAGTGCATCCCTGTGCTGCTGGGAAAGCCTCTGAGTGCCGGGAGCGGGCAGGTCAGCGGCGCAGCAATCGGAGCCAGGGTGGCGTGGGAGGAGAAGCGACTTTCCAAAATGGGGCACGGCCACCACAGTGGTGCAGTTTCTAGGTCAGCAGGTGTGGAAGCCAATTTGGTCTGCAGGCGTTTTTACAAGGTTAGAAAATAAACCTGAGTAAAATGAATGGTGACCTTTATGTAACCTTTGGAGAATGGAGCTGAGGTTTTATTGAATATCCTGGCTCCGAGTTGGAGGGAATAGCTTTGCAGAAAAAAGGTCTTTATAAACCTGCTTTTAGGAGAGTAGATTTTTCACTCTTGTTCGTGTATTTTGTTTGTTTTTGTTTCGTGGAACAATGGAATCTAAAAGCTATATGGGGGGGGAAGCACTAGTCAAGTAATAAAAGATTTGGATAAGTTTTACTGATGTTCATTTGGAACACATTGGAGTGCATGCAACTGTTGACTTCACAGCATCAAACATATGCAATTCCTTTTTTCATAAACATTTTACTTTCCACTGCAGGAGTTTCTTCATTGAAGCAAGTGATCTAATGAGTCCTTAGTAAGCACAGGATTGTAGGATTGTCATCCCAAGCCTCTGTAGCTGGGTTGCTTGCCAGCTGGGAGAGTTCTATGTTATTTACATGTGTCTGTGTGCCACTGGCAAGTAGGAATCCAAATTTCTACCTTGGAAACTCCCTCTAAAAGTTTCTGGATATTGTATAAATTAATCAGGAAAAAACTGTATAATTGGATGAGATGACAGTCCTGCTCAGGTTGGGGTGATCAGCTTTGTACTGAAGCACTGATTAATCTTTTAATTAATTGGAGCTTGGGGTGGTTTTGTTAGTCTTTTTCTGTGTGTGTGTGTGTAATTTTGAGAGCAGGGGTTGAGCTTAATGTTTTTATACAGATCCCATAACTTATGTATGTTGCCTTCTCTTGTTACTCTACTCAGCTGCTTGCCAAACAGAAGTATTTGGAGAAGGGCCAGAGCTGCAAAATTCAGATCAGGATCCAAATTTGGATTTTTGGTTCAAGCCTTTCTAATATCTAATATTACAAAACCTCATATATAAATACAGAACTCTTTATTTTTAAACTGTGGCAATGAGGACAGGGAGGTAGCTTCCTCGCTTCCCTCTGTGGCAGTCCAGGTAGACTGCTGGACTGTGTTACAAAGCTATCAGCAGGTATTCAAAGGTAAATTCAATAGGTGAAAAGGCAGTGAGTGCACTGTCACCCAGAAAGAGCCTGAGCAAAGGCCAGCACAAATTGGTGCTTTCAAGCCAATGAGAAGAATCCCCTAAATCTAAAAATTTTGGAAGATGTGGGATGTTTTGTGGTGTTCCACTAGATCTTTGGGAATTTTGAGGGTTTGTTTTGTTTTGATCTAAATGGAGTTAGCCAGTATCTCAATTTTAATGCTTTCTTGATTTAATGGAAAAAGGATTATCTCTCATCAAGTAGGATGCTTGTTATCGGCTGCTGTGCCATCAACAGGCTTTCAGTAAGCTGCCCAGTGTTTTGTGTTGTTGAATGTTTAATCATTAAGACAGTGGAAAAAAGAACATTCAAAACTTCCCAAATATTTTCTTTGTTGCTTCTTTTGAATTGTTTGTGGTTGCTGTGGTGACATTGTACCTGTCACAGGGTGGGAAGCCGGGTGTTGCTGCAGGACTGGGGATGGGGGTGGCTCTGGCTGGTGGGACCTGCCCCTGATGAGTGGCACTGTCTTCATAGCTGGGAGCTGTTGTCCCTCCCCTGCTGTAACCCATGGACACGCTGCATGGCAGCACCTGGCTGCTCCAGGGCAGGATATGTGTCCCTGGCAGTCTGGAGGGGGGTACCTGTGGTCCTCCACAGTGATGAGTCCCGCTCAGCTTTTCCCTGGAGCTGCCTGGGAGTGCCCATTGTCAAGTACTTCAAGTTTGGGAAGAAAATCTTGTTCCTAGGGAGAACTTGTTTATTAAATGAGGCATATTTGTATCTTCCCCTGAGAGGAAGTTTGTGGTTAAATGTCAAGGTCCATGATCAATGGCTGTCCTTTCTGATGGATGGCCTCAGAGGCATGCAGACAACCTGTTTTTCTAAGTCAGAAATTCCTAAGTGCCATTATAAGGTCGTTGGGACACCTGTGGGTGAAAAAGTTAGATTGCAGTGGACAGTAGGAATTACAGTTCATGACTATGCATATAAAGCAGTGAATTATACTGTTTTTAAAGTGGTCAGCAATACAAACTGTTGGAACTTTTTCTCAGTACAAACAAGGTATCTACGACAAGCATCCTTTGGACAAATGAAAACTAGTGTGTGAGAAAAGTGTGCAGGATAATAGGATGGGCAGTTTCTTCTCCTGTGTTTGCCTTACCACCTTCTTGCCCTTGTTTAGAAATCACTTGAAAATACCTGGAGTAGCCTTTGTGACTTTAGTGGAAATATTCCTGTGTGCCTTCTCCTTTCCTCTTCAGAGCCACTGCTACATTAAAGTACAGACTGGAAAGGCAGTTACTCAGTACTGCAAGTGGTACCTCTTTGAAGGCCTCTAAATTGAAAAGCTTTAACATTCATTTAATATTTTTTGTGGATGGAATTTTAGTCTTGTTTATATCTGCTATGAAAAAATGTGACAGCTCCTTCTTCCAGAACCGCATGTTAGTTTTATTGCTAGTTAAGGGGAGGAAAGTACTAGAGAGGTTTGAGTACTTTTTTAAACCGGGAGGAGAATTTTGCAAGAGGATTCTGGATCCTTTGTGAATGCAGATTCACAAAGATTGTCTGAGGACAATCTGAAATTGAGACTCAAGGGTTCTGCTTCAAGGCTGGGCATCCTCTGGCATGACCAGTTTGTTGTGTGTGCTGAGGGTGTGCAGGCAGTAGTTTTTGGGAAGAGCATGCAGGATGCCCTGCCAAAGAAGGCTGTGCTCTTTGCTGCTTGTCATCATCCACTCAGAGCTCCTGTCTCCTGCACCGTGCTGTGTTCAGGTGCTTTGTGCAAGGCCATGATTGCTCTGTGGTCCATGTCCTGCTTCTGTGGAAGTTGGTAGCTGTGGGTGAGGCGTCTGTAAGGCCGGCCAGCCCTTAGTGAAAGCTGCAGCTCCTTCTGCTGTGATGGGATTGTCTGAAGAGAAGGCTAAAAATAATTTTGAACTATTTTTGCAGGAGTCAGATTACGCCATAGAAACTTTTTATCCAAGCTCTGACAAAGTGTGACAAAATTTCTTTCATTAAGGGTGTATAAAAGGTTGGTCAATTTTCTTTGTGGTTTGATTTTTCTTGATGTATTAAGCCTTTTGGTATGATAAATGATGAGGGCCTACAGTTGCTATTAATGGTAGTATAAACTAAATGAATTAGTTGATATTTAAAAGTCAGTCAAGTTACTCACTGGCAGTAATTGGAAGCTGCACACCTGGAACCACATTTTGCTGAAGAGCTAAGCCAGCTTTTGGCTCCAGGAGCCTGCTCTGCAGCATTACCTTCATTATGCTTGATTGCACTGGTATAGTTCAATCACTGACTCCTAAAAAGTTGCAAAATAAAATGTCAGCTGAGGGAAAAGTATTTGTCTCTTTCATTCAACAAGTGAGTGAAATAGGAATGATAGATATAGTTTTAAAATTAGAGAAATATCCCTGTAAAAGGATATTTTGAACATAATCTATTAGTTGTCGGGAGATATCTTGCTGAATCAAATAAAATATTGGGAAATGCTGGTGGTTTCTGTGTGTTTAATTACACTGGGCAAAGGTTTGTCAAAATGCAGTTTATAGTGAATATTCAGTTAAAAATTAATCTTGAGCATCATTTTATCATGCAAAAAAATGCTAAAATGCTGACCCTTAAGATTTGGTAACCTGTATAATTAAGTCTGTGATCCATGTAGATATCCAGACACCTTTCTCTTATTGCTTACTTCTGAGTAGAAGCCAGGTATCTGTTTACCGTGTAGGTCTGTGCCTGAATATACTTTGAGTAGTCAGTTTTCAGGTAATGGCAGCTAAAAAAATACTCTTGATCTCCAAGGCTAAGAATAAACATGAAACAAAATACTTTGTTTTGTTTAGTACCAGTGAGTTTAGGCAGTCCCCACTTAGCTTTCATGGAACATATCTGCATGGACTGCATCTTTCTTGCTAGCAGCTTACTTTTCTTAGAGGGGGTAGGAATGTGGGTTCATATATCACCATGGTATGTACAATCAAGTTGGTGGAACTTGTAACTTAATTGAAAAACACAGTTTAGCTCATATGTGCTGTGGTTCCATGTCTGGAAGCCCCTCTGTGAACACTTAGTCACCCTTGTATGCACTGGGACACTGGCAGTGAGTAGCTCCAGCTGTTCAGGGTGAAAATATTTGCTGTCGGTAAGTTTTTGCAGTGCAGAACTAATAATTATTATTTGTCACTTCATATTGATTCTTGTCACTTTAGTAAGTACCTATACTGCTGAGTACTTCACATAGCAGTAGCTTTGTGGTGAGACCCAGTGTGGGATCAGGAGATAGCTCAAGTGTGTTGTATTCTTCTGGAATCTGTCAAACTCAGAAAGATGAGTTGCAGTTTTGGCTTGATTAGTTCAGCTCCTGAGCAAAGGAGTGGCAAAGCAGCATATAGTTCACAGTGAAAATTGAAATCAAACTGTGTTAATAATCAGGAAAGGGCATTTTCATTCTCGTAATGCGGACATCAGCTCTCCCACTGGAATGTTTACACATGATGTGATTCCCAGGAATGAAAATCCAGACTGATCAATTCTGTAGTGGTCTTAAACAATGTCTCCTTCTGGAGAGACCCCTCAGACGAGTAATTGTAGGTAACATTAGTGTGAGACTTTTACAGAGGAATGATTCAGTGGATTGTTAGATGCTGAAAATTGTGCAGTAGCCTACAGGTGAATGTCAGCAGTGCTGTTACTCTGGTGAGTATTGCCTTAGAACTGTACATACATCTGAAATACAATTCTCTGGTGTTACAATTTTTGGAAAGTCAGAAGTTTAGTGCAGCTTTTCTGAAATCTGATCTAGATTTAATCAAGGACAGCCTTTTCTGGTTTTGACTCTTTTACTAAGTAATTTGTGGTGTAACTGTGCAGCTTCCTGGGATGTTTGGAATATACATGCTATGAATAATGAATCCATGCAGGTGTTCTGTAAATTGTCTGAATAGGGTGCTAAACTCAGGGGCCTGTGAGGCTGTGGCTTCAGTACTTTGTGCTAGGACACATCACGTTCCTCTGCTACATTTTCAAAAGAAAACCATGACAATATGAAAACTTTTGATATTGGTATCAAAATGCTTATGGATGATGCTATGCCTGCAAAGCAGGTATGTTACTTGAGAAGGAAATGGCAAAGTTGTTTGGTTTTTGGGTCCTGTGCCCCTGGTTGCCTGTAGCAGTAGGATGGCAAGGCTGCACACATTGTTCCTTCTTCTGAGGACACAGAGAACTGAACCCGAAAGTTGTTTGGTATCAAATACTGGTCAGATCCTTTCTGTTCATAATTTTCATTCATGAGCAGGTTTTAGATGAAGTGTTCTGATAGACTCACTTGTTCAGTCATCACAGCTTCAGAGGCAGCCTGGCAGGGAAGGAGCAAGCAGTGTGGGGTGGAGTGCATGGTGCTGGCCTGCCCCACACTGCAGGTTCCGCAGTGCTGCCCTGGAGCTCTGTGCTGCTGCTGCGGAGCTGGGCTGGCCTGATGGTGGCAGCCCCAGGGCTGCAAACATGATCCAGGTGGGAAAAGCCAGTCCTGCCATGCAGGGCCATGTAAGGTAGCTGCTGGACAGTTAATTTGCCACCTAGGAGTGAGAGTAGTTGTGTTTAAACTCTGCTTTGTAGGTGCAAACTGAAATAGATGCATGCACGCAGGAACTTACACGGCTTTAGGTTAATTAAATTTTGTGCAGATTTAGTTTTAAGCAGGTACAGCTTACACATTTAGACAAGCTTTTGAGTCTGCAAGTAAACTGAAGTTTACCTAGTTTGTAGGCTAGGGAAACTAACATTTCAGAATTAATCCTTAGGAACTGGAGTAGCATGTTGTAACTCTTCTGAAGATCCTAGTTCAAAACATGCCACATAGATTATTTTTTCTACCCCCAGAAGCAGAGGATGGAACGCTGATGAGTTACACTGCTTTAGCACACAGTGAACTGACCTTTGAGATAGGCAAGAGTCTTCTAGCTACTTGCAGCTCTTTATTTGCAGAGACCAGACAGCTTCTGTGCCTAGAGTGGGTTGAAGCTGATAAGCAGAGGTGTGTGAGAAGTGCCTCGGTGCAGGTGCAAGGCTGAAGGATGGATGCCTGAAAGAACCTATCTGAGATAGGAGGTTGTATGATCACCATCAGGCAGCAGTGCCATGTTCATCCTGCATGTGTTCAGCTTCAAATTTTCACCTGATGGTAAAGTCAAGGACAGGAGAGGGTTCTGGGAAGTGCCAATGAGCAGCATGGCACAAGCTGGAGAGACTTGCCTCTCGTATGGCAGTGAACCGTGGACCATGCCCATCTAGCAGGAAAGAAGTGAGTCAATTCTCTTAGTAGGCAGGTGCTTGGAGAGTGCATGTAGATACTCAGGGCATTACTCAGCACAGGGAAACCTAAGAGGTTGCAAGAATTGCATTCCGTGGAAGTCAGCAGTTGGGTATGGGTTCCTCAAGTGGAAAAAAGGTGCAGAGGAGCTATGTGGTGGGCAGCCATGAGAGAAAAGGGAGCAAGGAGAAGGAGGAATGCATGTGTCCAGAAATCAGGGCAGAAGCAGGGGTAATAGGATGTTGCAAACAGCGTTGGGAGGGCTAGAGAAAAGCTGCATTTGTTTGCAAAAAGACAGGCTGATGCCTATGGGGGAGCTGTTCAATGTGGAGGGGAGAGAGGGCATGGGGGAGGAACCAAGAGTGTGCCAGGGAAACCCTGCAGGTTAAGCTGGGCCTCCTCAGTGCAGTGTCTGTGAAAGGCCTGAGGCAGCCTCTGGATTGCTTCTCTGCTTCCCAGTGTGTGCCAGGCCCAGGGAGCATGGAGGTGGCAGTGTGTTGGGAAGGCTGGGGCTCATTTCCAGGCTGACAGTGGGACACCTACAGCTGTTGACCCTGCAGGTTTTGGGGAGGGAATGGCTGTGTGCAGTGTCTGAGTGCTGACTTGTTCTGACAGCATGTGGGGCTCTGCAGGGCAGGGGGGTCTCATCTCGGGATAAAACCACAGAAGAACTTGGACAGGACTGGACTGTGGTACTGCAAACCAGATGACAGCCCCTGGGTATCAAATGTATAGGGAAATAAAGAGTTACAACCAGTAGCAGCAAATCTCTGTTAATAGAACATAACTAGGATAGCTGTGGGTCTTGAACATGTTGAAGAAAATAATGGGAAATAAAGAAGAAGAAGCACGTTTTTTATCAGCAGGCTGAAATCTGCCATCCAGGCACCTGTGCCAGCATTGGGAAACACGTGTGGTAGGAAAGCCTTGCTGCAGAGCTGCTGACACTGGGAGCTGTTCTGTTGGATTCAGCTGAGCTCTGTGCAGTAAACACAGCCCTATGCAGATCTGTATGTTTCTGGGTGTGTGTTACATGTAAGCAGAGTGTAGAACTCTTCCTATTTTCTCACATGAATATTGTTTTGCTTTGCCATCAGCTGTCTGTCACCACCATTTCCCAAGGGAAAGGCAGCAGAGGACCAGATCTGTGACCTGTGGTGGGCTGTGATGCACAGCAAGGTGCTGCCTTCGTCCTCCTCCTCAGCTTGTTGGCTCTGCAGGCATGGAAAAGAAACAATTTTATGCACAAGTTTTATAGATGCACTTAATTTCCTGCTTGGTTTTTAAGTGCTGCTGAGGAGTGTCACCCCCTTAGTTTCACTAGGCATCCTTTCTTGGAGCCATGTGGGACAAAGGCTGGAGAAAAATCCTAGTGTCTCATAGTTGGCTTTACAGCACCTTCAGTTCAAACCCTTAAGTAATAATGTTGTGATGGGGTTTCTGATGACCTCGGCTGAAAATAGCACAGCAGATCTCTTAGCTATCTATAGACTGGATTCTGAAGCAACCAAAGGTTGATTTGTTTATTCATAATTAGTTTTAAACCCAGCGGTTTTTGTTGTGGAATACGTGAGTTGTTGCAATGGATGATTTGCTTCTTAGCCACAAACCTGCATGTCTGGTGACTGCTTCCATCTTTATTCTTTCAGTGGGACATTCCTGAGATGAAATTTCTACTGAAATAATCTTTTTTCATGATGCTTTTTTGAGATTGTAGATTGTTAGTAATAAATACAGGATGCGGCTCCTCTCTAGTCATTATCTTCCCACATCCTGTACAGAGGGCACTGCATCCTTGGAACAGAATCTCCTGCCTGAATGTAACAATATGCACTGATTTTAATTCAGAGCAGTGCTGAAAGAACCAGGGTGAGAGCTGTGTAAAAAGCATTTTCTTTGTCTCTTCTCAGAGTTCATTACAGTAAGTTGTGGCAATACACTGAATTTAAATAAATGTGAAAAAAAAAAAGCCCTACCCCAGGAACTTA